CAGTGTTAGGGAAGCTACTCTGAAACTGTAGCTTGACCAGCTACAAGCTACTTGTAAATTAAAGTAGTTAAGCTACATTCAAGCTACCCTTCTGAAAAAGTAGCTAGCTACACTACAAGTTACTATCAAAAAGTAGCTAGCTACATTGAAACTACTTTCAATTTTTTATTGTTATTCAATTTTTTTTTTTTTTTTACAATTAACATTACTAACTAAATAACTAAATAATTATTCATGAAGAATTATAATGAAGTTAAGTAAAATATAATTAAGTTATAAGTAAAATATTTAGGGTTTAAAACAACATACTGTAATGCAATCATGATTTCACAGAGTAGAGTGAATTCAGGTTGATTGGGACACTTTTCCAAGCCATTTCAATGACAAAAAGTGTCCCAATCATTTGATTTTGTAAACTATTCGATACTCACAATAATAAAATACTGTATAGTTAAATAGTTATTTTAGTTATATTAGTATATTGCTACAAACGTAATACCAATTTAAGAACAAAATATATCCAATTAAACTGGATTTGGAGGAGTCATAAAATAAGCAGGTTAAACTCACAGCACATGCGGTATTTACTGACTGTGTCTGAATAAACAAAAGCAAAATAGTTCAGGGCTAGTTGAGCTGCTCCAACCGAGTGCATCATATAAGTGAACCCATGGTATATGTTTGTTATCAACTTAATTAAAAGAGTATTCCAATTAGTATGAGAGTGAAGTGTTGTAGAGTTTATGTGTTATAGGGAGTTTGACGGACTGAGGGCACATGCACTCACCATCTGGCCTAAACGATAAGCTCTTGGACATTGCCTTGATATGTAACATTTGTAGCATTAGTGGTTTTCTCTTGTTTGTGGTCTTCTCTTGTTTATATTACAGAGATTTTATATTTGAAGCATCATAGCATGGTATAATCTGTCTGACTCACCTACATACATTTCAAATACCATTTCACAGTAGTTCTTGTTTCTAAACGTGTTGAAACTTTTTTTTGATGATTGTATGCATTTTAATTTTGAATACCATCATGAGATCAATAATTCTGTCAAATTTAAGATATTCACTGATTCCAAATATTTAATATTTATTCATTCTTAATTGAAAAAATGTTACTCATTTTATTAATCGCAAGCAGCTTAAAAAACATTTTTCTTTTTTGCTTGACAAATATACAGCTATTATGTATGAAGCAGAGTTTTGTGGCTTTAAGAATTGAAATGAAAATGCTTTTAAATTTAAAGTAATTAAAATTAGCATTGGAATTAACATTGTTTATGATAGTCTGGATTAAATTAGTTTAAACAAATGGGTTTATACAAGAGTCTTTTAAGCATGTGAAATCCTGATTTTTTTATTTTCTTTTTACTCATTCATGAAAATACATTTATATTTATTAATATTTATTCATCATTAACTGTAAATTTGACCCAACTCCATTATAATTATTGAAGGCTATACCAAAACCTTGCTGTCCAGTTATAATGGTGCTGAAAGCACTGTTTGACAAGGTTGGGGTTTGATCCCTTTGATGCCTTTTTTTTAATCACCTGTTAGTTAAGAGCATTTTAGAGCATTATTTGCATGCTGTGTTCTTTGAGATAAACATTGCATAATGCTAAAACCTCATTCTTTAATCTTCCAAGCTCTTTGAAACATTGCATTGTCTTTTTTTTAAATAGTGACATAACCCCTTATCTACTTCAGGAACACCATCAAGCCAGTCCGAAGAAAGGCAAAATGGCCACAGACCCATTTTAAGTGACAGCTGCTCTTCTGTGACAAAGGCAATTTCAAATGCAAGCAGGTCCATTCATTTGATTTCCTCCACATCTCCCAGAGTGCTGAATGTAATTATCATCCCTCCATCTAGTGTCCCTAGGGGGCCCTTCCCCCTCCAGGCTTAGCTGTGACCGGCCCAGCCAGTCCGAAGAAAGGCAAAATGGCCACAGACCCATTTTAAGTGACAGCTGCTCTTCTGTGACAAAGGCAATTTCAAATGCAAGCAGGTCCATTCATTTGATTTCCTCCACATCTCCCAGAGTGCTGAATGTAATTATCATCCCTCCATCTAGTGTCCCTAGGGGGCCCTTCCCCCTCCAGGCTTAGCTGTGACCGGCCCATCGCCCATCCCTCTGCCTGAACATGTGACATTATCCTGTCCCGCCTGCCTGTCCTCACCCATCAGCACCTAGCCAGCTGTATGACTTTTATAATCTCCATACAATGTCTGATCCAGGATCAGTCACCATTGACTCCCATTTCAGCCTTATAATAGAAAGTAAAAAGACAAAACCAATTTGGACTTGTACAACAAAAATAATAATGATAATAATAATTTTATAATAATTTAATAGTCGAAAAATGTAATAATAATAATATAATAATCATCATCATCATCATAATTCAATAGTTTAAAAAAATAATATTTATAAAATAAAAAATATTTTATTATTATTATTATTTTAAATAAATAAATATTTAATAATAATGATGATAACAATAATAATAATAGTAATAAATGTTTATTATTATTATTATTATTATTATAGTTGTTATTGTTGTTTATTTATTTATGGGTATTTATATCTCCCAAATCGTGATATTTTTATGTTTAGCATGTTTTAATGTTGAGATGTTTTAAATTGTATCTCAGAGCATTAAAATGAGATTATGAGAGTAAAATAGTTAAAATAGTCACTGTAACTGTCTCAGTAGAAATGAATAAATCAGGACGGAAGTAGACTAAATGTTGTATGGGAAAGGTAAGATATCAGGAAATTTGCAGTAGCTTAAATGAAAAGTAATGGTGTCCAGAGGTGCAGGCCTCGAAAAGACTTCATTTACATTCATATTTTAAGGATAATTAATCAGAATCCGTAAAAAACAGCCTTGTTACTGAGGTTTTCATTATGAAATCATAGCCACAGGACAGAATCGAAAGAGACTGCATCATCACAGATGGTGCTTGAGGGCTTTGATTGCACTCAGTCAAGTACCTGCCTGTAAGTGTGTGTGCAAGCTTTTGTTTGACCATATGTGCAGATGTGTCCTCAGTGGTGTGTGCATTTCAATTTAACGTGTTTGTATTCATGCGTTTTAGACCGACTGAGTGCTTTGCAGGCAACTACTAGTGGATGGTCACGGATAGCCTAAAGGCTTGGCTTCTGTTTCTGAATGTGTGTGTGTGTGTGTTTTCTCTCCAGATGGTAAATATGATCTGTTTCACGGCTTTGGCTGTAGCTAGTTTAACTTGTGCAATTTTGCTTGTGACTGCATTTGTTTATTTTATGGCAGAATGCATCACAACAAACACCTACTTTGCCCTCATCTAATTTGAATACAAAGCCCCGCCTTGTGTAGGAGGCCCAGGCTTCATGACCCATAAACAATAACCCTTAGGCTCAATGCCCTTCCTCCACAAAAATGAATAGAACCATACGGGTTTTACATCAAAAATGAAAATGCAGTTGGTCTATTAAAAAATTAGTAAACATTAATGTTACTGCAAAATTTATATAATAAAAGAATTTTTAAGTAATTGCTAATATTAATGGCAATGACAATATGAAATAAAAATGTGCAAATGTTACCTTAAGGGGCTATTTCAATCCACTCTGATCCATATAAGTAACCTAATGTAGTCAGGTTGATTACATAATTTAATTGAGATAAAACCAGTCAATTACCACATGAAACATATTTTTTAATATATAATACTTATAATAGTATTATTATTATTATTATTATAGTTTAGGGATGGTATATTTAAAATATACATATTTTAAATGATACAGATTAAATACTGACACAGGATACATGTACTAATGTAGGCTAATAATAATTCTATTAAATGACAACAGCAACTAAAATAATAATAATAATAATAATAAATTATTATTATTAGTAGTAGTAGTAGTAGTAATAATAGTATTACAGTTTTACTTTTTTACAGAAAAAAAATAATGCATCACCCACTATGTGTGAAACATATAATAATTCTGGCAAGTGGCAAAAACTGGCCAAAGCTTTATTTAGTGAGTCTGGGGCGGATACAGAGCGAACGCTCTCCCCTCCTCCGCCATGTGATGACGGACAGACTGTATCACCGGAGCAATGCTTGAAGTCACTCTCATCAGCAACAAAGCGAAGCAACAGCAGCAGCAGCACTGACGTAAACCATCCACCACATCACCGGAATCATACGGACCAGGACCGACACCATATCGTCTCCTCCGCAGGACGTATAGGATGGAAACGGAGCGCTGAGAGAGACTGGGATCGTGATGATGCTCGGACTCCAATTCACGGCAACATTTGAAATGCGCGTTAAATGGAGACTCATGACGAGAGATGCTGCAGGGTGCCGCATTGCCTGGCCGCTTGATGATGGTAGGATAGAACAGCGCTTTTAACCGTGATGCTCGTTCTTAGATGCTTTCGGGGTGGGATTTGTAGTCGATTGAATGCCTCAGATTTGATCATACGCAAACTAAGACGATTTCAGCCTGCTTAAGCCATACATGCATACACATATACAATCGATGAGCACGACCAGATGAATGTGAATTTACGTTGCAGAACAAGCATTAATAAACCCACAATACAGGTGAACTCAGAAGGAGTATATGAGGTGAACTAACAGTGTCTTAGCTTACACTCAGGACCATCTCCGAAGTCAGGTTTTTATTTGCAAGCACTGCAGTGATAGGGCTCTTTATGATTGATATTTTCATCATCAGTTAGGTAATATACAGTGATAGTATATACAGTCAGTCTTGGTTCAGTGCAAGGACAATGACTCATTTACAGGCAGGCCTGTCTCCAGAAACCCTGGAGAAAGCCAAGGTGGAGTTAAAGGAGAACCCCGACACTTTGCATCAGGACATACAGGAGGTTAGGGACATGATCATCACCCGTCCAGACATTGGCTTTCTCAGGACAGACTTGTGATGTCTTTATCAGCTGTTTGGACTCTCATTCTGACGGCACCCATTCACTGCAGAGGATCCATTAGTGAGCAAGTGACGTAATGCTACATTTCTCCAAAACTGTTCTGATGAAGAAACAAACTCATCCACATCTTGGATGGCCTGAGTACATTTTCAGCAAATTAAAAATTTTGGGTGAACTATTTCTTTAAATCATACTTAAATGTATAAATATCTTTGAATTTGTTGAACAAAAAGCTCTACTATAATTTTTCTTGCAGGTATTTTGTATATAATTCTGTAATGCTATACATTCATACATTTTAAGTGTCCAAATACTTTTGGGGTAAATGGCAATACATAAATATATGCATTCATTTGTTTAGGCACTGTGCATTGATGCATAATTTAAGATTACTTAAATGATATATGTACATGTATTTCTTCAAATGTAATTTGTTTTAATGTTGTGAGAAATCCGCTAACTGTTGGTGTTTAGTCTCACCTCTTTAGAATGGAGAGTACATAGTGCTCGAGTCCATATCAAACAGCCTTTGAATTCATGGCAGTCGCACCATTGCCTCGGATGACAGGGCTCTTGGCATCCTCTCACAGGAACAATGTGTGATGAGCACTAGGGTCAAACCGTGCCTGTTTTGCTGCATTTATTGCAGCATTAAGGGAAATGTAAAGCCCTGTAGGCAAACTTACTCAGTAACCGTATGAGAAAATGTGTGTATATATATCTGCAAACATAAAAATGTAAGTCATGCAAAAACATCTCGCCTTTAGTTTGTTTGCGAATCTTCCTAAAGGCTTGTGTTTATCTGTAGGTACACTTTTGTGGATATTCTGCGAGCTATTTTACTTTCTCTGGAGGCAATGATAGAAGACCCCGAGCTACAAGTAAATGGATTTGTCTTGATCATTGACTGGAGTAACTTCACTTTCAAGCAAGCTTCCAAGTTAACTCCAAGCATGCTGAGATTGGCAATTGAGGGCCTGCAGGTAACACAATTGTCTGTTTTTAATCTTATGTTTATATCAAAAAATCAACATGGATATTACAATGCATTCTTTTAATTTGTACCTTCATGCATATAAATATGTGTTCTTGGAAGCAATGGAACATCAAATATGTAATGTTCATAAAGTGTGCTTCAGGCTTGAATAATGAGAATCGCATAGGAAAATTCTGCGTGTGTGAGGCAGAACAGGTGCTTGTAGAGGAATCCCTCTCCCGTCAAACATTTGGCATTCTCTTTGTGAGTAACATGAACAGGAGCTGACCCAATGATCTAACAGCAAGGGAACACAATCTGCATAGAAATCAAGAATGAGTATTGTGTTTTATTTACTTGATATTTATCAAACCAAAAAGTAGTTTAAACAACAACAACAACCAAAAAGGCAATGCATTGGGAAATGTCAATAGTGTGTGACTATAGTATAATTTGGAGTTATTCAAGTTTTTTTTTTATATATTAGTAAGCATCTTTTCTGAGATCCATTCCCTTTCATTGTAATGAAGTAAAACCATAGACTGTATAAAAACATGGACGTCGTGTCCGTGACATCACCCGCTCACAGTTGTCATGAAGGGCAAAATTAGCTATATAGACCAAAATTTTTGAACCAGGCTGTAAACGTTTTTTTCTGCTGTAAAGTTGGGCATTTTAACATGGGGAGTCTATGGGACTGACTCCCTTTTGCAGCCAGCCTCTAGCGGCCAGTTGGCGAATTACAGTTTAAGTCACTTCCTTGTTGGCTTCACGAGAGAGAGCGGGAGGTTGCCGTTTGAGTAAAACACATTTTTGATATTTATTAATGGTGTTTGCTAAGGAAAGAATCACTATTATAAACTGCTCAAACTCAGGTTTAAGGATTTAAATAAATCCTTAAAGGAACAGTCATAATTTACTCACCCTCATGCCATTCCAAATTTCCAAACCTGTCATTCTTCCGTGGAACATAAAAGAAGGTATTTAGAGAAATGTCTCAGTGTTTTTGTTCATATAATTAAAGTCAGTGCAGTCCAGTTTTGTTTTGTACCCCACTGATTTTAACTATATGGACAAAAATAGTTACAGCAAAAATAACTTCTTCAATATTTCTGTTTTGTGATCTGCGGATGAAAGAAATACAGATTTGAAATGTCATGAAATATATGGCATTTTTGCATTTTTAGTGAACTATGAAGAGACTTTCAACCAGCATAACAAAAAATGTTTCTGAAGACAATCACCTATTGCACCTTTAACCACAAGTCAGAACTTGTCCCATTTTGTTTGAACTACCTGAAATTTGCATCTTATTCCATTCTCTTAAAGGTGTCATATGATGTTGCTAAAAAGAACATTATTTTGTGTATTTGGTGTAATGAAATGTGTTTATGCGGTTTAAGGTTAAAAAACACATTATTTTCCACATATTGTACATTATTGTTTCTCCTCTATGCCCCGCCTTTCTGAAATGCGTCGATT